AATATATATATATATATATATATATATATATATATATATATATATGATAACATGAATATATGAAATATTATGTATTATAATATGAATGCACATGTATCAATGTGGATTGGATCCATATTTTTAGGTGGTTTATTTTTAGGCTTAGAAGTGAAATGGTGACATCAAGTTGCTCCAATGGAGCATATAGATGCATATATGTATCTACTCCACAAGATTTTGAAAAATGCTGAGTGATATTCCCATTTTCCATGTCTGTCTCCATACCCATGTATGGAATCTTAGATTCATGGGCAGTAAGGCATCCAGATATAATTTTCATCAATAAATAACTAAATCCAGAGTATAATGCCATAAACACAGACACCTACTTAATGATTCAACACTGAAGCTTGTCAACCCCGTGCCTTTCATCAAGACAGCTGCTGCCCGGGTTCCATACTCTATTGACAAGTTTCACGGGAGAATCTTTCACGCAGCAGGTTTCACAGGTAAGTATCTCTTTTTCTCTGGTAATTAACATGGTAGTTCGATTTACACCTTGATATTCAGCTGAAACTTAAAAAAACGGGGGTCTCTTTCACCAAATTCACCATTTCGAAACTCTTCAAGAATTCCAAGAATACTAACTTTTCAAGGTACTTCAGTTTGTCTTTAATAGTTAGATAATTCAAAAAAGGAAAAAGTTCATATAAGGTTTTAAACCTTAGTGAGGCACACTTCAAAAACACATCAGCAAAGAGTTGTGCAAATATTAGAAAACCCTGAATTTGAGATGTATGGATATGAAAAAGAAAAACACATTTCAAGTCATAAAAATAATGAATTTTGTACACATTATTTGCACCATCCATTTTCAAAATCTTTTACTATTTATAGATCTACTCAATCTGCACCATTTTTGGAGCTTTGGTTCTCTTTTTTAAGGGTGGCAATAAATTTTCACGGCATAGCAAGATTTTCCAGCATCAAAACATCATCTTTTAGCATAATTTTGATGTGTGCCTTACTTTGATTGTTTAAGGTTGATGCCTTAAATCTCAACCTTAAAAAATATTCAGTTTTGTAATTTCATCAGCCACTAGCATTATGCCGTAACAATAAAAGATTGTAAGAACAGCTCAATATGATTTGGTGTTCCTAAAAGATAGTGTAAATGAAAGTTGTTCAATCCCCTTTGCAGCACCTATGCCTGCCCATAGCAATACCCCTCAACCTCATTCAATCCCCTTTGCAGGTCCTAGCCTCTTAGGGAGCCTGCTCCCAGCTTTTCCCCCTCCCCCCTCTCTCTTTAGAGAGTGAGAGGCTCCCCTACTATCCCCTACAACGGTTTTACAGCATAGAACCTCACGTAAATGTCTACCCACCTTCCCTGTCTCTACAATAACTACCGACATTTAATCCAAACATCCAAACTTTTTTCCTCTACTAGCACAGGCTCTTACACAACCACCGCAGAAGCATTTTCCACTTGTCATCCACCTTCTTTCCCCAGCCCTCTTACTTCAGTCCCAGTGAGCTCCTGTCACCCATTACGCAA